TTTAATGTAAGCAAACTCGTTAAGATGACCTGTCCGAATTAACCTTTAGGTCTCATCCTTCTGGTGTCTGCAGTTGTTTGGCCATAATCCATGTGGAACCTATAGTATCGGCCCAACTTTGGCTGCGTTAGCCTATCCCTCCTCGATTTCGGCCAAGTCACTGCTCGACCATCAATCCTCCGCTCAATTGCCTCGAGCACTTCTACCATCTGGTCAATGGTGTATACTTTTCGTACATCTGCCCGTTCTTCAGAGGTCGATCTTGCACCTGTCCTCCCATCGCCGCTTCGACCTGTCTTTCTTGGGCGAATGCGCCCTCTCCTTCTCCAGCTCAGGTCGAGCAAGTTGCTCGAGTTTTGCAAATTCTTCTTCTGTTTCCTCCATATTTACATATTTCTTGCACCTTTTCAATACCTCATTGTTGTGACCATTTTTGTTACGTTTTTCTTTATTGTTTTGCTTCTCTTTTTTTCCCCTGTTTTAAGACTTTTAGTTAGTTTTTAGTTTATTTTGTAGTTTATTATGTGTTATGCTGTATTTTGGTTTTTATGTGTTTTTCGTGTATTTTGTCGGTTTTCTACGTTTTTCTTCTTGTTTGATGTGTGCAGGTCGAAAGCCCCATAAGGAATGGATTTAGCCCGAAATCTGACCCGACAAGCATGGTTGAGTAAAAGGGTTCGTCAGCTACATTAAGGAAGAAGCGGAACTCGATTTCGAGTTCGGACGAATTCGAACGGGGCTGAAACGTAAAGTTCAGCAAACCGTCGACCCTTTTAAGGTTGGAAGACCCTAGAGGATTTTATTCTGGGCAAAAGTTGAATTTGAAAGTATAATTGAATAGAGGGGTTCGTTAGCGATGCGTATAAAAAATGGAAACTCAATTCCGAGTTCGGATGAGCCCAAACGAACCCGAAACGCAAAGTCGCGCAGCCCAGTCCTCCTTAACGGTGCTATTCAAAGAAAGCGAAGCCAGAGACATTGGCCCTTCAGACCTTAGCGGCGCTAAGGCTGGTTAGCGCCGCTAACCCAGACTGGCAGCAACTTAGAAATTTTTTTCTCTCAAAACATGGCATGAGTTGGAAAGAGCTCGGTAGTAGAGCACTTAGGGGACAATAATCACCTGGAAATAAGGATTTTGGGCTATAAGAACATGCCCTCTTGATCATGAAAAGAACAATTCATCTTCCATTACCATCCTTGAATCAAGGGGGGGTTCTCCCCCCTCTTCATCTCTTCATCTTCCTTCTTCACCACCTCTTTTCACCACCTTCTTTTTCATATTTTCTCTCTTTAGTTTTTCTTTTGGTTTTTTATATTGTAATAAGGAACACTTTGGAGACTTGTTGCAATTTGGATTTGGCTTGTACTTGCATTTGACATTGGAGTGCATATTACTAGCAAGTTCTCCTTCTCATTATGTTTATGATGATGATGATGGCTTGGTATGATATGAATGCATGTGTTGAATCAATTATGAGTAGCTAATCCTCTAGCTAGGGTTAGGGGATAATCATTCCGGTTTGTTCTCGTTTATGTGCATGACGATAACTCAATCTTGACGAGTTGTTTTAATTATGAATTGATAAAATCATACTTGCTAAATTGTTATAACCTAAGAGTGACACTTAGGTTAATTTGTTGATATAATCAAAGAGTGACACTTTGATTTGTGATTAAATATTGATTTGTTAGTTAGAATATGTTAATTCTGCAAATTGCGACTTGTAGAACCGATAGGGGAGAAGTCGTAGAAATAATCGATTTCAAAACCGAGAGGGGAGAAATTGACGGAACTTGGCTCGTTTAGAGTAGACATGTTCGGAGACGTATTGTCTATGTGTTAATTGTTTCGTTAATTTGCTCTTTTATGAATATCCTCAGATTACGAGAGTTAGTGAGGTTAAACCACTAAATAAGTTAATTAGTCGAGCCTTTTAACCGAGTTATTGATTGCCGTTAAATGAGTGTAGAACCGGAAGCGATTATTCCCGATTCCCTAGCTCGTCTATCTTTTTATCGCTTATATTTTTAGGTAGATTATATCGTCTTTAATTATTTCTTAGTTGATAATTTTCCAACCCAATCTTTTGATTAGTATGTTTAGGATTTATTTTCCTTTTATGTGTTATCAATACCATTTCTAAATTCCGAACCGCCTTCCTCGAGAGATCGACCCGGGAAACGAATCATTCGATTTGGTGCTCGGTAAAATAAAAATAATTTGCTACATCAAATATATTCAAGCTGGTGTCTTGGCCAAAGAACTTCGATATGGGCTAGCTCGAACTCTTTATCAACCCTCCAGCCTTGACCTCGTCCGAGGCCGAGGGGATCTCCACACATGCCCGGTTATACCTCGCCACATAGTTTCTCAACAACTCACCCTCCTCTTGCCTCATCGCCATCAATGTTAAGTAAGTCTTCTTCTGCGCGATCACACTAGCATATTGGATTAAGAACAAGCTCAAAAAATCCTCAAAATTTCTCACCTACCCCGGGGAGAGCTAATGGAACCAATCTTGAGCTCCTCTCGCAACGTAGCAAGAAAGCTCGACAACAGACTGAGTTAGAATACCCGTGCAAGACAACCTTATTCTCAAAAGGCCTGACATGCCTGGATGGGTCTGTCGACTCGTCATATGTTAGGTTCACCTCTATGAAATTCGTCGGCATCACCGCATCGAGTATTTCCCTAGAAAAGGGTGTTCTCGAGCTTGACCAACATGTTTTTCGTCTACCTTCGCCTGCGATTGGCAGACCTGCTCCACCATCCGTTTCACAACTTGATCTCTGTATGCCCCCGTACCTCGACTACATGACTCGTCCATTTCGGTCTCCTGCTGGTTCATCCACCGTGGTCGGTGTGGTGGTTGCATGTGACGTCTGGTGGGTGGTTGCCGGACTGCTCCAACCGCGACGACGTTAGCTATCATCCTCTCCAGCTCTTTCCTCGTCATCGTCACAAGATGTCCTCGCTCGGCCTCACCTCTCGATGGCTCCGCCGGTGGTGACTGAACCAGATTTGGCTGCACCTCAGTTGGAACCACCACTCCTTAAATTGCTCGAGCCTCCTAAGCGTGGCTCAATCCCATGCAACAACAACTGGGACTATCGATGAGCTCCCTATGCCTGTGGGATGAGGCATCGGAGTCATCGGGGTTTGAGAAGGCCCAGAGAAGCCCGACTGTGAGCCTGCTTTGAACGGGCGTGTGTTCAGCCACACATCATCAAAAGTCTGTTTCAAATTCTTCCTGAGAATCTCTCCCGCCATGGCTATGGTGTTTGCTGGATTTTTGAACAAAAGTTCCCACATACGGCGACAAATGGTACACAACAGACATCCGACCGGTTGGAAAATGGTCTGGTATGAGCTCCTCGCCGGTTGAATGCCTTTAGACCTGCAAAAACTTTCACACCGGAGAGGTTTTCCTACGAAGAACCTTCGATGCTGAAGTTAGCACTGTGAAAAAGATGAAATGTTGTATGTATGTAGAGAATAATGAAGAATGTAATGTGATAATGCGAATACCTCACTCCCTTTTATAGGGAGATGATACCATGTTGCCTATGCCTGCCTGAGTGGGCTGCCCGAATCACTTCTTCGTATTGCCCAAACTACCCAATTCTGTGGCCACGTGGCCCTATCCACGTGGAGTACTTATCCTATTAAGATTCCTTCTTATCCCTTATTCTTTCCTATTAGACTGTCTAATCTTGCGACCAACTCGAGCTTTGTTGAGGTAGAATGCTGACGGTTCTAAGCCTTAGTGTTGTCCTTTTGGTCGATTACGCGACCAACCATACCTACAGGTCGAGTTTCCAACAGACCATTCAAGGGCCTTAGCTCGACCTGTCGCTACTAGTGGAAAAAATACTTTTCACATCGGTTAAAAATCACTTTCACATCGGTTAAAACCCCTTTTTAGAACCGATGTTGAAACAGGCGATGTTAAAAGTCCGTCTTTTTTACATCGGTTTTGAACCGATGTGAAAAAAAAACTTGTTTACATCGGTTTTCAAAACAATCGATGTTATAAGGGAAAAAATAAGTCTCGAAAATGAAAAAAATCGATTATATTCAAACCCTTTTACATCGGTTCGTTTAACAACCGATGTAAAGTAAGACATTTAACATCGATTTTATAAAAACCGATGCAAAAAAGTTGTATATACATCGGTTATTCATAAAACCGATGTAAATAAAGACATGTAACATCGGTTATCAAAATAACCGATGTCATGATACAGTAAATAAAGATATATATACATCGGTTATTGATAAAATAGATGTAAATAAAGACATTTAACATCGGTATTTACATTAGCTTTTAAATCCGATGTAAAATCAAGCATTTTATAACAATTTTATTTAAATATACATTTTTTTTACCTATATATCTAAAAATCTATTACTATAAAATAATAACATTCATACATTCAAAATATTCCCACAATTCAACAGTATGCCACATGACAAGTACTAACAACTAAAATATTTCAACAACGCCAAGTTATAACAATGGTTTTCATATGCACTACACACCAACAACAGCCATCAACCACAATTTGTTATAAAGTTCAAATTCTATAAAACGTAACCAAACTGATAAGTCTATTTTCCTAATGAAGTAACCTCAAGAAAGTACTTGTCCACCGCATTTTTATATTCTCAATGTCCTCGTCCGAATATGGCTCATCAATGTTGAAAGCCTACATGATACAAACAAATATTATCACTATAACCTCTATTGAATTGTGTGATTTCAAATACAACAAAAAGTTGATTTTAATAAAAACTTACCTCTTCGAACGAGTCGGTAATGTCAAGTGATATAATCTCGAGCATATACCTCATAACAAAATATCCACACGCTTCATCTCCCAATTGTTTTCGACACTTGTATGAAAAACATAAAAACATCATTTATACTACACAAACTAAATCGATCCGTACAACCAACAAGGAAATAATATAACTCTCCAAATTCAAAACACCTAACATCACTCAATAAATTTACCTCAAGTCGAACTCATTTAGGCTTCTCTATCAATGATGAAGTATCTACGTGGAAAAATGATCAGGAAGATCTTGTTACCAGTTAGAAAGGACTTACCAATGTAAAAGTGCCATAAAGTATAAATGAATAAGTCTTCATCAAAGCGCTTCTAAGTTTATTGAGACAAAACAAAGCATAATACTCCATACCTGCTGAATTAATGTGTCATAAAGGACAATTCGCTTGTTCTTGAAAAATCCGTACATGTACGCCTGCAGCATAGGTTGCCATAAAATGAGACTAAAAGGTCGGGCAACCAAAGAATAAAAGCAGTAACTAAAATGGTTACAGAAAATGCACGAATACAGAAAAGGAAAGCACACTCACATTGTTGTGGCTCGATCTTGTTGATTCATCAACAACAAACAACTTTTTCAATGGAAATTTAAGAGATGAAGCAAGATTCTCAATTTTGGTCCTAAGTTCTCCCTCTGGAAGCTGCTTATTAGAATAAATAAACATATAACTAACACCTCGAGTTCCATTTAGAATATAACCACTTTCAAAAGCAATACTATTTCATAGTATAATTCAAATCCCTCTATAAAATTCCTACTATTTACAGGAGTAAACTTGCTGGGGCAATGAGAATTGGATAAATAGTCATCATCACAAGAGAAACGATAAGCTACTCCCCTTTCACTTCCTCTCAGTTGTGAAGATTCTTTGCTTTGTACTGTCGTTCAACTTCTAGTCAACTTTCGTGTGGCTCTGTTTGACCAACCAGTTTGCTCCATCTAATTGGCCGATTTATTGATTTTGCTATTCCGGGTGTGGTATCCTATATCACCTTGTTTTCATGTGCCCAATCAAACATTGCAGTTTCATGTTGCATACATTTGACAGTTGACTAATGTTCGATGCATTCTAATGTTATTTGAATCTCTTTGTTTTTTTATTAGCGGCCTACGTGAATGCTAATGTGTTTAAATTAATATTTTTCTCTTTGTTGTAAGTTTATATGGTTGATGTGTTTTCGCAATACGTAATATATCTTCACCAATTATGGGTACATTAGTTATTTTCATAAAAAAATAATTAAACTTAAAAAATAATGTATTGTGTATCTAAAAAGAAACTTTTAATAAACAAAGCTTTGTAATAAAGCATAAATTAAGGTTTTTTAATACAATGACATAATAAGTACCAAATAATTAAAAGATTGGATAAAAATCAATTTACAATCGCACAATCGAAACCATCTAATATCGAGAAGGTGGACAATTAAATCTCTCTCTCTCTCTTTTTTTTTTAATTTTTTTTGAACAATTTTGCGTTAAAAAGGAAATAATCGAGAGTGGGTTTGATAAACAATATAATATAACTTATAATTTATTTGATAAGCTTATGAACATTCAATATCCAAATAAATTTATTTTGGTAGGACGAGTGAAATTATTTCATAAGTTTCCTTGGTGAGTTTTTCAAATAAACTCATTGAAATTTTTATTTTAATAGACTTATCAATTAATTTACCAAACACTTTTATCATATCAATTGGTTTTTTCAGCCGGTCATAATGTGCTCAAATTCACTTATAAGCTATCAGATAACTTATCAGCTATCATTATCCATAGGGCCTCGCATATTGCCAGAGACTGGATTGTTGCTTTCGTATAGGCCCCCAAAGACTTAAACTTCGCTTTCGGACAGTCGAAGCAACGAACAAAGGGAAGTCAATTGGTAGAGCTGTGGGTTATTCGGGGAAATCTATTTTTTGAATGAAAGATTTGGAGTTTGAACACAAATTGGAGTTTGAACACGAAAGTTAAGTTCACCAAATATAGTTTGAACACAAATTGGAGTTTCCAAAACTTGTGTTGCGACCTGGGCCAAGCTCGAACGTCTGATACTCGAGCTCGGCTCGTTACCTAAACGAGTACATAAACGAATCGCATCCAGCTTGTTTATCAATATTAACGAGTCAAGTTAAATTAAAAATATTAGAAAATTAGGTAAAAATCCATTTTTCGAGTCTAATGAAATCAGCTCGAGCTCGACTCGTTTGCATAACTCCACGCGGACCTTAGTCTATATACAGAACACGTATTGACGCGTTAATAAGGCAGCATATCACTCAATTTAGAGTCCCATTCAACGAAAAAAACAAACACAAACGCACAAACCACGTGTTTATTAATTAGGACGAATATCCATCTTTAGTCCATCAAGATTAACATATACCATAAAAGAGCAAGCAAAGAGCACGTGTTTTATGGTGTCGGCCATCAGCAATCGGGTGGAGGGGGAAGGTTGCACTTGGCGGGAAGGGCGAGGGCGAGGTCGGGGTCGATCCCTAGGGCCGGCAGCATAACCGAGTTCCGATACGAGCACAGGCACTTGAGATCTGCTCCCCGCACCGCGTCACAGCACTCCGTCGACGGGGGCACCGGGCTCGGCTGCGTAACCGACGGCTTGCACGCCTCTAAGCCTTCCTCCGTCATGTTGCACACGCTAAACCCTGCCGCCTCGCCCAGAAATGCCGCCGTCAGCGCCGCCACTAGCAACAGGAACTTCGCTGCAGATCCACCGCCCATATGTCTGCTCGAAAACTGTCGATTGATTTTTTTATTTAAGTTTTATTTTTTTGGTTATTTGATGGTGGATGATTTTGCTGTTGTGTTGATTCGACGTTTTTTTGTTTATATTTGATGATACTGATTGGGGGTGTGTATTTATATAATGGATGGATATTGGGGAGTGGCGTGGGCTTTCTTTATTTTAAATTTTGTGGTGTGAGGGTAAAGTTGTGAGCCTCGTGATGGGGAATTTGGCGGGTTTCGGGTCACGGGCGCGTGATGCTGTTTTGATGGGTCCAATGACATTTATTGATGTGAATTGTGATGTTCGACGGATATGTTAGAATAGTCTCGCACTGCGTGATTTCTAGGTTCTTGATAATAATACTATCTTTTACTACTCGCTCATAATCAGAATCTCAAATTTTCTATTTCGATTCTTATTTCATTACAAAAAGATTTATTCCTTTTTTATGTCAAGGGGGGAGCTAAAGCTAAGCCAAAGAAATGAGATACATTAACTATGCAGTGAATAAGACTTGTGACTGTAGTCCTCGGGCCGAGGAAGTTGATTGGTGTGAAGGGGAGGACATCTGGTTCTAGTCTCTCGGAGTTTTATGTGGTGGTATTTCGGGAGAGGCTTCAGGTCCATCGGACTTGGTCGAGTTAGCCGTAGGAGGAGTTTCTCGACCCGTGTGTTTTTGGGCTGGGGTTTGGAGCCTCTTCAGTTCTCCGCTTTGGAGTCGGCGGGCAGCGACGTTTCTGGGTGCTTGTTCGGTTGGCGGGGAGGGCGTGCTTTCTAGTAGTCTTTTTTTGTGTGTTTTGTTTCATTGTGCGTCTTTTGTTTTCTGTGGTTAGTTGTGTGTTTTTTTTCCTGTTTGGGCGTGTAGTATTCTCCTGTTGGGAATAGTGTTTCTTCTCTTATTAGGAGTCTGTGTGTTTAGGTTTGTGTGCTGTAGTTGGGTTGGTTCTATGCTGCTTCAAGCTTTCTGCCTTTGTGGTCTGTAACTGACTTATTTGGCTGTTTAACTATCTTCTAGTTTGTTGTACCAAAAAAAAACTATCTTTTACTTTGTAATTACGTGTTTTTCTTAATAAAAGTATCGT